TCTTCTGTATCTGATGTCATGGTTTTACTTATAATTTTTCTAAAAAACGAAGGACAATCATTTTTAATTGCATGATCTTTGAAGTAACATGATCCAAAATTTTGACACTATAATATTTGCTCGTAAGGGAATTCGGAGCACGCATAAAATTCACTGTATGTTATTTTGGAAGATAACGGTATTCAATTATTTTTTTCGATAAAAAAAAGACAAGATTTTTACCGAAATGTAAAATTGAATGCTTCAAAGTATTGATGAAAATAATTTTCACTGATTCAAAACGACTAATTACCAAAATCACTGCAATGAACTTTGAAACATCAATTGTTTTGTTATCATAAATCTTAATAAAAAAAAAATACATGTGCGACTCTTACAACTCTTTAGAAAACACTGATCTAACAATTTAATGTCAACATTGTGCATTAAAATGCTGTCAGTTTCAACGTCAAAAACAAAAAAAAAAATTACGGTTCTAAATAAAATGTTGTTTGTCAATTCCAAAAGCTCGTAATATATTTGAAATGCTTTATTATTTTGAAATTTGGATTTCAATTAATTTCAAAATATTTAATTAAAAATCGAATTTATAATCTTAACTGGAGAGTGAAATCAAAAGATTTTTGACATTGACGTTTAACGTTGATTTTGATTTTTTTTACGGTATTTTTATACAATTATTTTGTCTAATTACAATAAATGATTTAAAAAAAATGCATAGTCCTTTTTTTAATCCAGTGAGATTTAAAAAGTTTTAGGGTTACATTAAAGACATATTGTGTATTCAAAATTGAATTGAAATATGAAGCGACATCTGCTCAAAAGAAACTGTCATAACATGCTGGAATATTTTTTTCAACATTTAGGTTCTCAAAAGTCAAAACATTTCAGTATGTGAATGACATTTAATGTAAAAGACTGAGTATTTCATTAGTGGAATTTTATTGAGATACATTTTTCAAAGTGAAAAGAATTGTGCGAAATGATGCGTCGTAATTTAATTGTGGCCTTTAAACCAATAAAAAATAACTCAGTGATTTTATCTGAATTAAACCATCGAATTATGATGCTGAATGTAAGTTCGGATAAATAAACTATCAATATTTTATGCATAACGGTCCGATTCTTATTGGTTTTTTATAGGACAATAGAAATAGTTGTTTAAATCTGGTTAATAATAACATTGATTATTATTGCTCTTGGATGCCATACGGAAACCATTCAATACGAGACACAGAAATTGGTATCAATTCTGCTGTAGCAGAAGCAATAGGTATAGTCTTTTTTTTCTTAATTAAACTCGTCTGATCTAAAAATATCTCTGACTGAATGAACACATTCGTCGTTCCGATGGGAACCTTCTTGTGTGGGTCGAATACTTTCTGAATGAAATATTTCACTAAAAATACTACGTGTGTTGCAAACAATTTGTTTATGTACGTTGAATGTCATAATTTGACACTGAAAAAATGTACATTGTACACATTGATGTCAAAACAAACAATCATACACAGTTATTGTCATTCACAGGTCTATCGGAAGGATCAATTGTCAGTTGCAAAGTTGTTGAAGAACTTCCAATATTAGACATGGTGTATGTAACCACCAATAATCAAAAGGACTGGGAAATGCTTGTATGTGTTCAATTTTCATATCAAAAAAATAAATAAATAAGAAAACATATTATTATTTAATCCAAATCCAAGGAAGCATCAAGTTATCGTATTCAAAATACGTTATTAGATCAAACGCGTATAGTTAACGAGGGTAAAAAGCTCATAGTCTGGATCAACAATGCCATTTCCATTTGCTTGAAAATAGGTAAAAATTAAAACTTTTTAAATCAAATAGACTTATTTCATATGTTTACGTGTTATTTGGCAGAAAAACTTCATCCAGAAACAAAATACGGTAAAAATTATTTTTATTACTTCATATGTTTAAAAAACCAGTTCTAGAATGAAAATCATTTAACTTATCTTATGAAAATAAAAAATATCTATAGGAAAAAAATAAGACTCTTAGAACATTTTCATTCTACAACGAGTGTAATACATTTGTGTCATTTTAATTTAACTTCTTTTCCATTGAATATTGATTATTATTTGAGTGCTCGAAAATGAATGTGAGAATTCTCCTGATATTGTATTGAAATGTTAGATCACCGTTCTATTAATAGACATTTTTTATATGAAGGTGCTACATTTCAATAAAATCTCGCGAAAAGTTTCATATTTCTAGTAAATTGTACTTAAGTATTCTCACTAAATTATTATTGTACTTTTCCTTCAGGTAAAATTGAAAGAAACACTGAAATTGTTGTAGAACCCTTCAAAGAACCAACACCAAAAGTAAACGGAAAAAATCAAAAGCAATTGGAAAATAATGAAACTATTGCGATAAGTAACAAACAATCAAATCAGAATCAAAGCTCATTGTATGAGCGATTATACAAGAAGGATGCAGCGAAAGATCGCAAAACTTCTCCGATACCACAAACGATGATTGGAAATGTTATTGACAGCAGAACATTGGACAATGTATCTAAGAAGTCAACTGATGATGAGGATTCATCTTCAGAATCAGAACCTTCGGTGTATAATGAAAATTTGCAAAATATCTCAAATGATTCAGAAACAATGGCTCAACCAAAAAATGAATCATTTTCTAAGAAACCAAAAATTAAATTTGATGTCCAAACTCGTTTGTTTGACGCAATGCTATGTGAACTGCGGAAGAGTCTAGATCGAAAAATGTACAAATTCAGAGCAATCCCAAAAAAATGGAATGACTCACAAATGTGTGATGTATTTTTAACAAAATATAACACTCCTGACGAATTTGATCCGAGAAAAATTTATGTAATGAGCTGTGAGTCCATGAATGAGAATGAAGAACGTGCCATGAAAGAATATTACGTAAACATAAAAATGGTTTCCGAAACAGCAGAAACATCAAAAAATATTCATCGTTCCATTGAGATTAATGATGTACTATTAGCGCAAATGAAAATACCAAAATTCACAAGAATTACTTTAAGTACAAAGAAAACTGTTTTGAATTTCATCGAAAAGATCGAATTGATTTTAACAAGTAATTCTGAAACTTACAACAAACAAGAAGTTTTGGACGATTTCAAAAAGTTATTGATCAAATGTTCTCGTTCATCACCATTACTCATAAATCAAGAACAAATATTTAAATTATGCGAAGAGAGTGTTTTTGTGATTGTAAAAATTTATCCGGAAACTTTCAGGTATACATACAAACTACCCATTACACTGTGCTCGGGCAGGTCAATGCGAGACCAATGACATAGTGTGTGTAATCCATTGGTCCCCTGATTACGACGGTATCTTTGGTTTCTCTAGATCAGCTTTTGTCCCATACATTGTTTTCAAAAAACGATTCTCTTCGGAAATCGAAAATCGTCGCTGTTATTCGACTGCTATGCATTATTGAGATTTCAAATTAACTGTTTTTAGTGTATTTTATGATTTGGCAGCGAAAAGAAGCCATATTCATTGATTTATACCAGTCATTCAAAATATGGCGAGTTGAAAACATGTCATTTTTCAACCTTCAAATAATTTCAGATCACTGTAAAAACACTTCCATCGGATTGCTCGTTGAAAAGTAAGCCCAAATGTCTTATTTTTACATTATTTTGTATTGCGAGTCAATGAAATAGACCTACAAACAGTTTTGGATTCCCCGTGCCAAAAAAAACCCCACTATACATTTTCAATGATAAATAATTAAAAAAACACCGATTTTCGATTTTCGAAGAGAATCGTTTTTTGAAAAAAAAGTATGGGACAAAAGCTGATCTAGAGAAACCAAACATACCGTCGTAATCAGGAGACCAAGATGGATTACACACACTATGTCATTGGTCTCGCACCGACTTTGTTTGAAATTTTCGAACACAGTGTTATTTATCAATTTTTTATTGGAGCAACTCCCGATACCATTTAAATTAAAAATGTTTGAAATATTGATATTTTGACATTAAACCATATTCATTATAATAAATTAATAATATAACGAAAAAATATTCAACCCTAGGTATTGTTTGTGCGATGCTGAGATATTGCGTGAAAATAAACTGTTCATTTCCGAACAAAGAAAGGATATTACGCATATACTAACTTTGGCCGACGACATTTCATGTCAGAAGTATATGGATCGATCCGAAGAAATAAAATTCTTCGTAAATTTAAATGAAAATGAAAACATTATTGAAAATTGTGTAGAAAATATTATTAAAATGAATTGTTTAAACGCAGAAAATCGCTTGCGAAAATCAAAAAATTATCTAATTATAGGATCGCAAACATCTGGCAAATCCACGATTTGTGCGAAAATTATAGAAAAATTAGAACGTCCACCATATAATCTCTACGTTGAAATATTTAATTGTGCCCAAAACAAAGCACGTAAAGTAGGTGTTTACGATTTATATGTATTTTAATAACATATTTTGACACATATTCAAAATTTTACCAATATATTTCCAACTTACATGTATATCCATTATATTTCTATTATAGGCAGAATCTATACAAAAAGATCTACGAATTATTTTAACAAGGTGTGTTGAGCGATCTCCGTCTGTGTTGCTCTTGGACAATTTGGATTCTTTAGTGAAATCTGTTACATCTGATCATTCACAAAATTCAGATTATTACAATCAAGTGTCAGATATTGTCAAATATATGATAGCAACATACACAGAAAACTGCTCGATTTTTGTTATTGCAACCGTTACAAATATAAATAACTTAAATCAGCGCTTGTATACGTCTCGCGGAAATCATTTATTTGGAAAAATGTACAAAATACCCGAGCTAACGAAGGTACTGAAAACTACTAATTTGATTTGATTAATTTCCAATTCAGTAAGAATTTTTGTTTGTTTTTTTTTTTTTTTGGATTTCTAGGAAAATCGAAAAACAATCATTCAAGAATTGTGTAAAAACAGTAATTTAAAATGTCAAAATAATTTGAATTTCGACAAGTTGGCCAATTTATCAGAAGGATATACAATTGGATATTTTTTACAATTTCTTGATCGTGCAACCTTTTATGCATTTCGCAACGGTATTCATTTATAACATTAATTTCAATTATAATATATTTAATTCAATAATGACATTTTCAGATAATTTAAACCCCATACTCACGAATGATGTATTTCTTGAATCTCTGAAAACTACAAATACATACTGTTTGCAAGGCATTGAGAACAATATTAGCGAATCTTTTGAAGATACAAATACGACTGATAATCAATTTCCTGGTCTCGAAGATGTTTTGAGTGTTTTTGAAGAAGTTCTCGTTTGGCCCTCAAAATATCCAAACGTTTTTGGAAAATCTCCATTACGGAATCAAGCAGGAGTTTTATTGTATGGAGAACCAGGTGAGTTGTGTTTTTCATGATTGTTCAAACAGGTTCCAATTTGTGTTTTGTTCCGAAGGCACGGGGAAAACATTTATCGTCTCACAAATAGCACGCCATTGGAATTTGCGAATGATTTCTGTGAAAGGACCCGAGCTACTAGCTAAATTCATTGGACAAAGCGAAGAGAATGTTCGGAACCTATTCGACAAAGCACGAAATGCAAAACCGTAAAATTACATCCATGAAATTTAAATTTTATGATCTCCCTTAATGTGTGATTTTTTTTTTTTTTTTTTTTTTTTCGAAAGCAGATGTGTACTATTTTTTGATGAATTTGATAGTATCGCGCCAAGAAGAGGCCATGATTCGACTGGGGTGACCGATCGAGTAGTAAATCAGCTTCTTACGGAACTGGATGGTGTTGAAGAGCTAAGAGGTGTGATTGTAGTGGCGGCCACTTCTCGACCAGACTTGCTAGATCCTGCGCTATTGAGATCGGGTCGAATTGACAGATTGGTCCAATGTATTCAACAGTTCCTCGATTATTTTCATCATTAGATTATTTTAAATTATCTCTCTCTCTTTTCTCTCCCAGGTAAACTACCGCAATGTACAGCACGGCTGGACATATTTAAATTCATTGCTCAATCGTCATCATTGAAGCTAGCATCTGATGTAAACTTCGAGCATTTTTGTGATGGAAAAACAGAAAACTATACTGGTGCTGACATTAAGAGCATTTTAGTATCGGCGAATATGATAGCGGTGAAGGAATTTATAGATAAATATTCCGATGTAAGTTCACTATAATTGGGAACCAAATTTTCTTTAATATTATTTTTTTTTTTTACTTTTTTTCGTTCAAGAATATATCCGAAGACATTTATATCAATCAGAAACATTTGATTGAAGCATTCAAAAATACAAAACCAACGTTAAACAATGCAGAAAAAAAGAAATATAATTCAATGTGAGAAATACTGAGAAATGTGTGTACTTTTGATCATTTAATTTTTTTTAATTTTCAGATATGCTAGATTTTTGAATCAAGAAGACATGAGTCGGGCAATAATATCCGGACAACAAAGGGCAACATTAGCTTAAAACCTTTATTCAATTGTGTTTTTTTTTTATTTTCAAATAAGTTGAAAAAAGTAGTATTTAATTGTTTGTTGTATTCACTTTTCAAACTAGAAGTTTCGAATAAAATTTAACTTCTATTGTATCTGTTTCCCTCACCACGGCGATGTTCGTCCTTGTATTCGTCTTTAGCACGTAAGCGTGCAATTTCATATTCATCATCTTCTTCTAATTTTTTTTCACGTTCAATATCTTCTGGTTCTTCGAAATCATTGCTTTGTTCCTGCATATAACGACTTTGTAGACTATTGGAATTATTTGACGCTTTGCTTGGATCTGGGAAAATTCCTTCGCGTACACGTTCATCATAAAATTCACTGACCGTCATTGTAGGTAATGATGGATACCTATAGGAAAAGGGTGAATCACAAAAGAAAAGTATGTATTGACCATAATATTTATATAATGAAATTAAGTATACTCACCCCATACCGTATACAGCTTTTTGAGCTAAATCTCTTGTGATTATGATGGGTTTGAGTGGTCTGACCGAAGAAGTCTTATGCATATGCTGAACATCTTTGTCCATTTGCTGGCGATTTTGTTGGAAACTCAACATTTGCTTTTCCTGAACAAGGCTCGCTAATTCTTCTTGTGCATCGTGAGTGCTCATTTTCAGCAAATTAATATAAAAATCACGTTTGATATCATCATCAACTTGTTGGCTCTTCATCACAATTTTTAATTGTTTTATTTTATCTTCCAATTCCTTCCTTTGGCGATATTTTTCGAGTTTTTGATTACGTTGTAATACTTGCTGAGTTAATACTTGCTGAGTTGTAATACTTGATGAGCTGTTAGTTTCACCACTACTTCCACCACCAATTGGTTTGACATCATCATAAATACCATATTCAGAGCATCGTTTCAAAAAGTCTCTAAACATTGTGTTTAAATTATAAACAAAAAAAAAACAAATATCAACAACATTGTTGTTTTATTCCCCCATTCAATTTTACTTACTTGAAATATACTTCAGCCACTTCAACAATATCTGAGCGTGAACCACCACAAATTTTTTGAGTCAAAATTCCCAGGAAAAATGGCAATAATAAGTACTTCAAGTCGCTTGTTGGTAGCTCGGTATACAACTCATTTGTGCTAAATAGACCGCAAACACTAACTAAAGTAGTCAATAATTTTCATTATTTTCTGTATTTTTTAAAAGATATAAAATCAGTCACCTAAACGTGTGCTGTCTTCAAAGAGCTTGATGCATTTCTTGACATTCTCCTAAAAATGTTATTATTTTGAGGTTAGTTTTAAACTTTTCACAGTGAGAAAATATGATGAAAAAAAATTATGGAAAGAGACTATTTACCTGAAACTCCTGGCTATTGGTGGGAATATTACATATTTCAAAACTCTGCAAATAATTTCCACTCAAAAAGTTATACAAGTCGAATGCTTCATCAAATATTTCTGATAATTTTCGGTCCATTGTAGTTTCGCTCATTGTTTACCTAGAACAGAATGTTTTGCATTGATGCTTTTTATAGACATTGAATAATACCAATCAAACGCCCAAGGTTGTAAATGTCAAAAAAATCCCAAATTATGGGATATTTTTTGATACTAATGGGAATTAAAATTTAAAAAAAATGTCTTTAATCGATTCGTTGTTTTTATCTTAATTCTTTATCTGTTTTTATTGTTACATTGAGAATTAAAAAATGGAATAAAAGAGAAAATGAAGGAGAAAATAATGAGATTAAATACTTCAGGCACCACACATCATACAATCATCTTTATTGTTTAGTGAACAGACAAGACCAGCCATCTGTAATTCAAGTTCTTCGGCAGTTTGAGATCTATCATTAGATTGGTCGTTAGTTTTATTGAGGGCACGGGAAGCGGCCAATCGTTTCTTATCCACTGTAAATTGAATGGGATTCGCAGCCTAAAAAAATATTATTATTTTAAATTTTGTTAGTAATAAACTTTTTAACGTGGCATAATATGAAGAAAACAATTATGGAAAGAAAAAATATTTACCGGACGAGTACGCAAATAGTACATTCCTTGAACAAACAATGAAAAATATAAATGTTCATTAGAAATTATTTATTAACGCCTTAAGATGGATAGCAAAACAATTGAAAAGCATACCAGTTTTGAGGCCAAGTTTCCATGCATAGAAATGAATTGAAGACATTTTTGCGTATGTTGGTTGTGCAACGTGAATGTTAAACGATTGGCTTTGATCGATGAAAGCACCACGATCTGCAGCCATATTCATTGTCGCTTTCACAGATATTTCCCACACGGTTTTGTATAAATCGCGAATCTTTTGTGGAATACGTGTTATATTTTGAATCGATCCATAATCGGCGATAATTTCGTTCTTCATGTCATCGTCCCACATTCCAATTTCGGTCAAATCTTTAATCAAATGAGGATTAACCACCTGGAATTCACCAGACAACACACGACGATTGTAAATGTTCGATGTGTACGGCTCGAATGATTCATTGTTGCCAAGAATTTGGGCTGTATAAACGAAGAAAAAATATGCATGTTTTGTTATAAAATAAAGCGAAATTTGTCGTTGGGTCTAAGACAATTCCTTCAAGTATCCGCTGTATCGAATGCGGTAATTTACCTGTACTAGCAGTTGGCATTGGGGCCAAAAGAAGTGAATTACGAACACCGTGTGCTGCTATCTTCCCTTTCAATACGCTCCAATCCCATAAATCGGTCGGTGTCTTGTCCCACATGTCGTACTGAAGAATACCTTTGCTAACTGGCGAACCGTGGTATGTTTCATATGGTCCATATTTCTCGGCAATTTCACAACTGGCTTCGAGTGCACCATAATATAACGTTTCAAATATTTGCTGGTTCAATTTTGCTGCTTCTTCGCTTTCGTATGGCATTCGCATTAAAATAAATGCATCAGCTAATCCTTGAATGCCAATACCTGAAATGACCGGGAAAAAAATCCAAATTATATTGATTTATTTTGTGTATATTAGATTTGAACATTTTTGAATATATTAGAATATATAGGAGATCAAATACCAATTGGACGATGACGTTTGTTCGACTTTTCAGCTTCAGGTAGCGGATAATAATTGATATCAATGATTTTATTCAGATTTCTGGTGACTACCTATTATTAATTAATTAATAATCAGAAAAATATCATATGAGTATAATAAATTTCGGAAATGTCAATAAAGACAAAAAAAGTTAGTCATTACCTTTACAATTTCTTTTAGCTTAACAAAATCATAAGTCTTGTCTGTCTTGACAAACATATTAACGGCAATCGAAGCCAAATTACAAACAGCAATTTCGTCTGGGTCGGTGTATTCGATAATTTCGGTGCATAAATTACTAGAACGAATAGTCCCGAGATTTTGTTGATTACTTTTCCGATTTGCTGAATCTTTGTATAGCATATACGGAGTCCCGGTTTCAACTTGACTTTGAACTATCTGGAACCATAAATCACGTGCTTTAACTTGACGTTCATATTTGCCTTCATTTTCATATTTGACATAGAGCGACTCAAATTCTTGTCCCCAATGTTTGTACAAATCCGGTGATTTGTGTGGACAAATTAGACTCCACATTCCATCACTTTCAACGCGTTGCATAAATAAATCTGGAATCCATAAAGCTAAGAATAAATCTCGACAGCGTTCATCTTCGTGACCGGTATTTTTGCGAAGATTTAAAAATTCAAATATATCTGCATGCCATGGCTCTAAATAAATAGAAAATGCACCAGGTCTTTTATTTCCACCCTAAGAGAAAAAGTTTAAGAATAATTATCATCACATAATCAAACAAAGACATTCTTCTTTACCTGATCAACGTAACGAGCAGTTGCATTATAAATGCGTAGCATCGGAATTATTCCATTGGAATAGCCATTTGTTCCAGCAATATGAGTTCCTTTTGCGCGTATATTATGAATTGAAAGACCGATTCCACCTATACGAATAAATTTTTTTTTTTTTATTTATAACTAAAAAATAAAAACCTTAAAGAAGGTAATATAACCTGCATATTTTGAAATTTTAGCACAGCGTGTTACTGTTTCATATATTCCATGTATTGAATCGTCAGTCATTGCTAGTAAAAAACATCTATGTGAAAAAAAAAATGAATCAGTCACTCACTTTTGTCACACAAATTATTTAAATGTAATATATTACGAGCTTAGTTGTGGACGTCTTGTTCCTGCAGCGAAAAGTGTTGGTGATGCATGCGTGAAATACTTTGCGGATAGTAAATTATAGGTTTCAATAGCACTATCGATGTCTTCACCATGAATTCCGACTGATGTTCTCATGAGCATGTGTTGTGGACGTTCAACAACTTTTCCATTTATACGTAAAAGATAAGACCTCTCCAAAGTCTTGAAACCAAAGTAATTGTAGTTGAAATCGCGGTCAAATATGATAGCAGAATTAAGCCGATCAGCATTATTCATAACAATATTATAGGTGTAATCGCTAATCATAGGTGTACGTCGACCATCTCTCTCTACATTGTAGAGGTCATTAATAACATCTGTATAAAGAATATTTAAAATTATTTTCATTTTTTAATATGTTTCCAAGATTATTATTTTACGTATTTATTTGAGAATGATTGCTTTGTCATACCCGAGAATAATTTCTTGGTCTCTTTGTGTAAGTTGGATACGCTGATTCGAGCTGCGAGCACGGCATAATCGGCATGTTCGGTTGTCATTGAAGCAGCAATTTCTGAAGCAAGTTCATCAAGTTCCTGAGTAGATACACCGGTGTAAAGACCATTTTTTACTTGGATTGTGATTGAAACTGGATCGACAAAATCCATGTTAAGGCCATAACACAACTTTTGTATACGAGAAGTTATTTTATCGAAATGAACTTCTTCTTTGCGTCCATCTAAATAGTTTTTCATGTAAACTTATTAGTAGAAGAATTCTCTGGAGAATACCCTGAACTTACCTCGTTTATGAACAAACATTCTCGAAGATTTACCCATTTTATTCTAATTTATAACTTTATAATGTCGAATATAATTCAGATTTTTTTTTTTTAAACAAAATTTAACTTGAAAGGTGCGAAAGTTGCGTCGTGCTTATCATATGAATGGAATTGGCGCGAAAATGTGACAGATATTTTACCGTGTGTGGTGACATTTTGAACTAAATTCTTAGTATTTTATTTTCAAAATTACTTTATTAATTACATGTCATTTATATTTAAAAAAAAAAAAAAAAACATAATAAAAATAATTATTATTAAATTATAAATTAAACCCATGTAAGCGATGCATCGTTTTGAACTGTAAATCGTAAAATGTCAGAAAGTATGTGATGTCGTTTTGAACTGTAAATCGTAAAATGTCAATAAAAATGTTTTATTTACGGTTTAACGATGGAGAGTCGTTTAACGCCTTTGAACGATGAACATCTTTTTTCATCGTTTTTTCTTTTCGCATATCCTGTTAATAGAAAATATGAAATTCCCTTCAATATTCATCATAAATTTAAATATGAACTAGACTATGCATGTATTATATGTTAAGTATTTGTAATACTTACTGGCACCACAGCCACAGTAACTGTATTGGAAAATTTAACTTTGTTTTTTTCCCTGAAGACAAATAAAGAAAAAAGAATGTTGATTATTGTCAATGAGATTGTTGTGTGGGATCTAAAAAATAAAATTAAAAATTTACATGTTTCTTTCGCCATGCTCTTTTCTTATGTGAGAAGCCTGTTGTTGTGATAAAATTGATGAGAGGCCAGTCGATGTTATATGTGACAGTGCTGGTATTTTACCTGCAAATCATGTAAATCAAAGTTGAATAAATAAATTTCGATAATGGAAAAATAATTACGATAATACCGGAAACTAAAGGATGATGAATGATAGGCTTGGAACCATGTTGTTCAACACTTGTTGGAATTCCAACTGTTTGATCTGGTATATTCCATTGTGGTTTGGGAACAACGTCAACAACGGTATTGAAAACAGCATGAGGTTGCTGTGGTATCGATTGTGACATTTTACTACTTTTTTGTATTCTTTGATACTTCAATAGTTCAGCAATTCCATCATTTAAACTTACTTCGCCTTTACTTCGTATAAATGAATAATTTGGCATTTTTGCATTTTTATTATTCAAATTTACAGGTAGATTTGATGCAGGTTTTGTTGATAAATTCGACACTTTTAATTCAGGCTTTGGAATGAAAAATCCATCTCCTATTGGTGACATTATATTTTTGATTGCAGCAGTGCTTTTCGATTTTTTTTTCGATTCAGTCCATGATTTTTCTGTTTCAAATTCATCATCTGCTGATGAATTCGTGTCGCATAAAGAACACGAATCTCGAGAACATGTTGAATCTATGGATTTAAGAAAAACCAAAGCTATATAATTTAAAAAAAAACTTTAAGATGTTTGAAAGCTTACGTGAACTCTGCCTGCTACTATCAGAACGAGAAATTATTGTTTCCGCTTTGCAAAATGCATCGTGTGCCAACTCAAAATTACTATCTTCCTTTGCACAGTTTGATAAGTCCATAAAAATATCTTCATCATCAATATCAATTGCCAAATTGAATGCCTTTTCATACGACTTGTTCCGGAGGAGATATTGGAAAAATTTTCTTGTTATATCGCGTACTTGATCTCTAAACTCAATTTGAGTCTCATCACTTAGAGGTTTCACGGGAATAAGAAAGCTACCAAGTGCTTTTGTTAATTGTGCTTCTCTTTCTAATTGAAAGGGCTGTCTGAATATGTAATTTGCAATTTTCTGTAAACTAATCATTAAAATGTCCCCGTAACGGTCCCAATTTAAACAAAGTAGAACATTAATTGCTTTTTCAACATTATTCAATTTTAAATATTGTTGTATTAATACATCAGCTGTGAGTCCCGATGTATGGAAATCTCCCTTGTGTCCATTTCCGCCGTATATTCGTAATATAACAATTGGACCATTTTCAAAAAGCAATAAGGCGTACGAATCGGTTTGTGTGTAACGTTCATTGTATTGAGTTAGATCTGGTTTCTTACTACAATTTATTTTCAAAAGCGGTGTCTGAATTGTGAAGTAATTCGCCAAATCAAGCACACTAACCGATGATATTTCTTCATTCAATATTTGATTTCGTATGCATGATAACGATATATCAAAACATTGAATTTGACACTTTTCATTTGAAATCCACAGGCATGCCGAATCTGCATGCCATGTCACGAGTGTTGGTATGAATGCCGCTTTTATTAGGTGAGTGATTCCACGCCATTCATCGAAGATTACGACAGATGCATCAATACAACCCAACATCAGTTTTTCATTATCAGGACTGAAGGAGAAACAACAAACTTGAGCTTGTAATGGAATACATGTTGTGGATAGTCGTTGAATTTTAGATTTGTTTATTTCATATACACATATTTCAATTGTAACTTCCTAAAGACGGAACACACAAGAATGAAAATAACGGAAAAATAATTTAAAGAATGATAAGCAAAAATAAAAGAAAAAAATTCAAACTTCAAAAGAAATACAATAAATGATTTTAAGAAAAAAAAAACAATTTTAATACCTTTCTTGTCATCTTTTGTTCAATGGACCGTAACTGGTTTTGATTGACTTTTGAAAACTGCACGCTGATTGGATCATTTTCGGTCCAATGAAAACATAAAAGATCCAACTTATTCCGGCTAAGCTTGTATATATGAATATTAGCGCGATCTTGATCACGAACTGTAGGCCTCCATGGATAAACTTCATTCTGTGATGATTTTGTCCAAACAGACAATAAATCATAGCTGCTGTTGCAAGCCAAATGCCGAGCAATTTTTTTGGTGTGAGTTCCACTGATGATAACATTGAAGATTTTTGGATCCATGCGACTGATTTTTTCAGGTACATTCTTTTTCATATTTGGCTTTTGTAAATATACGAATGTTAGCTGATTTATATCGTATGAAATTAGTATATGTAGTCTTGTCATGACAACATTTGTTACAGACTCTGAAATCAGTTTTCCCAAAAAGAATTTGTCGAATGAAATACGGTTGATTTCGCCCGTAAAAATGTTTATACAAACATGCACTAAAATACCTGAGATGAGAATCACAAAAGAAAAGAATAGAATTAATTAATAATAGAAAGACAATTTTTAAAAATAAAAAACACTAAAATACCATTTGAAAGCAGCATTGTAATCATTGCATTATCGATCCATGTACAATGCACAATTCGATTGGTTTTCAAGATTTCTTCCAGTTTTTTAATTGAATTCTTTAATGATTTAATTTTTCTTCCGTGCAATATATAATCTTGATCTCGAAGATGTGCATAGTCTTGTTTTCCTTCGACATATGGATTTATCATAGACACAGATTTCTTTTCAGTGTACCTAACCAATTATTAAATTAAATTAAATTAAATTAAACATATTAAACATTTATAATATATGTATGATTTCCTCACTCACTTAAATGCACCTAAATCTGTGTCTTTAATATTTATGTCATCTCGACCAGATAAAAATTTCACATCACATAACAATGTCAACATTATTTATGGATCCGCCGCCGCCGCCGCCGCCTTATGGAATATGAATATTGAATTAACTAAAAATAATAAATACTCAGAATATTTATCAATGAAAAGTATAAATCATCATTACAAATATTTGACAGCTATCAACAGGTGCCATAAAATTGTAATGTGCTAAAACTTTATAGTTTACAATTACAAAATCATTCTTAATTAGCCCAAATAAATGTGAAATTTGATTATTTTTGTCTAGATTTTATTTTGGCTTCAAATTATTCATTGGTTACAAATTATTAATAATGTATTTTTTTCAAGTAGCAGAAAATTGAAAATGTTCGTTCGCATTTTTTTTTTCCAATAGGGATCATGAAACGTCATATTTTCAATAAGAATCTATCTGGAATACTTTAGTCAATCTACCGTGTTTCGATTGTGTAGTCTTATTTTGTTGTGTAGTTTATTTTTTTGTTTTTCCATTTTAGAAGAATTAAAGAGATTTCGTTTTTCTTCGACTGCAATTTTTTCAATTGAGAGAAACAAACCGCAAATATGAAAACAGTTCCAAAAGTGTACGTGATTGGTGTTGGCATGACGAAAGTACGTAGGAAAATTTGATTTAAAAAACTGAACGTCAACTTTGACCCAAAAAAGAAACACTTTGTGATTTCACAAAAGATTTCATGCAATATTGTACAAAATAAGTTAGTTAATGACCCTTTGAACCTATTTTTCTGTGCCGTACTCATTTTCTTTTAATTTATACGAAATAATTGCAAAATGAATAATTCTTTAAATATACATATATTGTTTATTCAATCTTTTTGAATTTATTATCTCAATAAAAATGCTGAGTTCGTATTTATCATTTTATGGAAAATTGATGAGATTGCTTGTAAATTTTTAATTTCAGTTTGAGAAACCGGGTCGAAGAAACGATTTCGATTATCCTCAAATGGTTAAAGAAGCAGTGACAAATGCTCTTACTGATGCAAGTGTTTCTTATACTGATATTAAGCAGGCTGTTGTTGGCTATGTCTATGGTTTGTAATTGAAATGAATAAATCGAAAGATTGAACATTGAACTGAATTTCACTTGTTCTAAATATTAGGCGAATCAACAAGCGGACAACGTGCATTATATGAAATAGGAATGACAGGCATTCCAATATACAATTGTAACAGTAATTGTTCAACAGGTGCGAATGCATTGATTTTGGCCAAACAACTCATCGAAACTGGTCAAAATGATTGTGTTCTAGCGGTTGGTTTTGAAAAAATGGAACGTGGTTCATTAGGAGCAAAAGTAATAATTTTTTTTGACGAATGCGGATATGCCAGTCTGATCTTATTATTTTTTTCTTGGATGAAATTAATATTTGGTTACGTTTCTAGTACACTGATCGTACGCTTCCAATGGATAAACACATTGAAATAATGTCAAATAATTTTGATATAACCGATTCCCCTATAACGGCTCAATTATTTGGAAATGCGGGCATCGAACATATGAGAAAGTACGTACCTTACTTAAAAATTACTATTCCATTACTCTACAATTCCTGAATCAATCCTGATCCATTCCTTCGATTCTTTTTCTATTCACTTCCATTATCATCATTCATATTAATTCTAATATTTACAATGAGATTTTCAAATGATGGTGATTATGGTAATGGAAACATAGTGTATGTGAGATGGATAGAGAGTGTGTGTGTCTCTCTCTAGGGGTAGACACCTATTAGGTCCTGTCAAGTGTACAAGTTATATGCGATTTACTAAAAAAAAAGGAAAAATTAGCAATATTAGAGCCCGTGTCTCCCCACCTAGGTGTTTCTGTCTGAATAAATGAGTGAATGAGAGATTATTGAAAACCATTGTTTTTTTTTTAAATTTCCTTTAACTCCTAGTATAGGGCCTTCAGATAAGAATTCTTATCTTTCTGGGGTTTCTCTTGATCAGTTAATTCAGATAGATTGGTGATCAGTCGATTGTATCCTACATTTTTTTTTATGATTTTGCCATATTTTATAAGGCGTTGGATTTCTATTTTACGTATCCATTACTTATTGATTAATTTCCATTTTTTCCATTCTTTTTTTTTCTGGTCATCCGTAGGTATGGAACGAAAGCTGAACATTTTGCAAAAATTGCCGTAAAAAATCATAAACATAGCGTTAACAACCCCTATGCACAATTTCAAGAAGAGTTTACTCTGGAACAAATTCAAAACTCGCCTCAAGTGCATGATTTTTTAACACGTCTGCAATGTTCGCCAACGTCTGGTAAGAATATTCATGTTCTTAAAAATTATTATTCGTAATTTATAATAAATTATTATCTGTATTAAGATGGTTCTGCTGCTGCGGTTCTAGCATCTGAAGATTTTATTCGTCGCAACCGCTTAGAATCGAAAGCAGTCGAAATTGTCGGTATGGAAATGACCACTGATCCATCTTCAACGTTCAAAAATAATAATGTAATCAGTATTATTGGATTTGATATGACAAAAATGTGTGCTGATCGACTTTTTGCAAAAACTCAATGTAAACCACATGAAGTTGATGTAATTATTTAAAATTAATAAATAAATAAATTATTTTTTTTATTAATTTATTTTTATTTTTAAAGGTAATTGAGCTTCATGACTGTTTTTCGACAAATGAATTGATTACCTATGAGGCATTGGGTTTATGCGAAGTGGGTAAAGGTGGAACATTAGTAGATAGTGGTGACAACACATACGGTGGTAAGTATGTGATTAATCCAAGCGGTGGTTTGATTAGCAAAGGACATCCATTGGGGGCCACGGGCATTGCGGTAAAAAAACTTTTGTTATATAATATTATATATCCATCAATAAAGCGATTTTTTTTTTAAAGCAATGTGCAGAACTAACCTGGCAAATAAGAGGTGAAGCTGGCAAGCGGCAAGTGGATGGCGCCAAATTGGCATTGCAACACAATATTGGCCTGGGTAATATTGAAAATGATCTTTTTTGAATCTTGTTTTAAAACTAATTGTTTATTTTGTTCTAAGGTGGAGCTGTTGTGACTGCCTTATATCGGTTGGGTTTCCCCGATGTTAAACAAAACAAAACATCAAACACAATTCCTCAAAAGAATTCGAACCAACTTAGTCCGGATGGTAAACATTTTTTTTCCTTTCTAATTTTCTACTTATATAAATTATTCTCCTAGTTTTTTTAATTATTTTTACAAAATAATCTTAAATAATTGTATTTTAATGGTCACTTTAGGTAAAGGATTTTTGGTGACTCCATATTTACGTGTTTTAGAAATAGCTATGCAAGAAGATAAAGACAATTTGATTGAAAAAGTGCGGGGAATTTATGGATTTCGTGTAACACATGGACCAAATGGTGCTAATGGTTATTGGATAATAAATGCGAAAACTGGAAAAGGTTCAGTTACATATAATGGAAAAGAAAAACCAGATGTAACATTTGTTATGAAAGATGCTGATGTAGTAGAATTGATATCCGGTATACTATATGATATAAAAACTAAAAAAAATACACAAAAAATCAAATATCTCTATTTCTGGTCATTTCAGGTAAACTACAACCACAGAAAGCATTTTTCCAAGGAAAAGTAAAAGTCATAATTTTTTTTTGGGTTTTCGAATGTTTTTTTTTTATTTTCATATGAATTCTTATTGATTATTTCCATTCTTTTCAATGTGATTTATCCTAGGTAAAAGTTCAAGGAAATATGGGACTTGCTATGAAACTGATTGATTTACAGAAAACAGCTCAAAAGCGAATTGAGGAGCTTAAAGCAAAATTATAAATAGATCTTAAGTATTTTTTTCTGCTGGGTAAATTTTAAATTTATTCGCAAAGTGGTATGGTTTTTTTCTTCGTTAGATTTTTTATTTTCATTTCAACTTTATGAAACTGATGTTCACAATTGGTTTTGGTGATATTTTAAATAAAAATGCATAAATTCTTTTCAAACTTGGTTTTATTTCAAAAATTAAGTTATTATATCAACATATTCACATATTACACCTCGTTTCCATATCGACCATTTGAATCCACGCTTCGGGAATTTGCGGTACCTGAATTTGAAAATAAAAAATAATCATAAATCGATTTATTGATGGATGTATAATAATATAATATATCTAAAAAACACATAAAATATTTCAAATAATACACGTATATAAGGTGCAAACTTACAATAATATTTTTACATTAATGAATAGTTTCCATCATGCATGTTATTCCATTGAATTCCAAAACTGTTTTAATTGTTCGAATTTTTTTGATATTTCTTGATATTTTGAAATTTTGGTGGAAACGGTGCAAGCAAACATAATTTAAAAAATGTACAGTTTTTCTAACAAATGTATGGCCTTTATTTCAATTGTAACATAAATTTCTATAAATGAACAAAAATCGACTGATACATTGCCTAATTTTCCGCTTACAATTGAAATAGTTCTTATGAACAAAGTTTTTCCGGGTATTGTTTTAATAAATACTCAATAAAGAAGAAAACTTTGCTCATTTTTTTAAATTAAAATGTTTGTCGATCCCATTCACTATCAGAACCACTAAAGGAAGTACCTTTGCGAGCAAACGATGATTTCTTTTTTGTTGGTACATCAGGTGAATAATTCTGTTCACGGTAAAAATCGGTGTAAGACCTTGGCGTAGGTGATCGTGGTGGACTAAAATCTGTTTCTGTTTCGTAAATATCAGTAGGATAATTATTTTCATATCTTTTTTGTTGCATAAAGTTCTCTGTATATCGATGATCAGGAGGCGGCGGCGACATTAACCGTCCTAATAATATACACATTTTCAAACAATATTAGACCATAAATATGTAGTTAAAGAGAGATTTAAATAGATAAAACATACCAATTGGTGCAGGCCTCATGTCGTTTGGAAGAGGTAAGGGTGGCGGTGGCATAAATGAAGCTCCCAATGTTGTGATTCCAGAGTTTGCAAACAATGGTGTCGGAATCAAAGGGGGTGGTGGTAAATTCAAAGATAACACGGGCGAATTGGGCGATTCCATATGAATGGGCGATGGTGCAGATATGAATCCATCGTTTGGTTGATTTACTATAATATAATTTGATATGAAATCATTTAGATATGAATTTACATCAATTAAATTTTTAAGATTGGACATACAATTGGAATAGTTATTTTCTGCAGATGTGTTATTGAACATAAGACTTGTAAGTTTTTTCCTCAAAATGCTTGCTTCAGCTCTTGCTTCGTCAAGTCGACGTTCAGCTTGTTTTGCTGCCAACCATGAATCATGTGCTCTTACTTCAGCAGCATTTATTTGAGCCTTGTGTGCAGCTGATTGAGCTTCGACTTCCGCTCGCAACTGATCATTTTGTGATCTATGTGATAAGAACGTTTATTGTATTTTTTTTTTTTTTACATTGCAAATTGAAAAAAAGCTTAAAATTTACCTCAATTTCTGCATGTCATCTTGCAAACTGCGAATGCGTTCAACTGTACTTGTGGATTCTCCCTGTTGTTTCATAAACAATGCTTCTTTTACGCTAAGTTCCCTGATCAAAGGAAAATACTATATAATTTTTTACATTCAACGTGTGAAATTTTTATAACTTACTTTTGAAGTTGTGATTCTTTCTCTTTGAAATAGCTCGATAAAACTTCTAAACGAGTTTGCGCTTCTAATTTGTCCTTTTCATTTTGATTAAATTTCATTTTTTGACGTGCGATATCTTCGCTAATTTCCTTAATCTGTTCCTGCAACCGATCTTTACATTCCATTTCCGAATCTATTTTGTCTCTTAGGTATTCATTCTGTTTTTTCAACGCTATATATTTTGCATTCACATCAGTTACTTCAATAATTGTTTTTATATCATCATTTCCATTGAAATGTTTAAGTTTCTTTATGCTTTCTTCTAAAGCTTCAACTCGTGCTTCAGACGAATTCCACTTTAAAAATATTTCGTCATATTCCTTTCTTAATGCACTATGTTCCTCGTTGATCGCAGATATAGTATTCGCTTTAGTTTCCAGACTTTTCTCAAGTTGAACTTCAAGCGATCGAATAGATTCGGTCAATGTGTTTTCAATTGTTTCTTTATCTGTTTTGAGTTTTTCATTTTGAATTAGCAATTCTTGTATTTCACCACCAAATTTTTTATTAGAATCTGACAAAAGCACTTGCAGCTCACTATTTTCACGACTTTTTTCGGCTAGTAAATTGTTTATGTATATTGTGGTTGCCTCCTGCTCATTCAACTGTTGCTGTAATTCCTCAACGCTATTGATGATTGAATCACTGCCACTTTGGTTGCTGAGAAGCTCCGAGATCATTTTATTTAATTCAAGTCCAGCCTCGGCTGCTATTCCTAATTCTTTTTCTGCTATTCCTAATTCTTTTTCCAATGAAGTTATTTGATCTTGCAATTCAGTCTTCTCCATTTCGAACTGTTTGATCATATCGTCTGCTCCAAATGATTTGTCTGCAATACTACTCAATTTCTTATTGGTTTCAATCAATTCGGCTTTTGTAAGAAGTTCTTCTTTTTGTGAACGTATTAGTTTTCTCTCAACATCATTCAATTTTTTTATCAATGTATTTTCTATACGGCGATTTACAAAGCAGTAGTGTCCAAAAAGAAAGATGAGTATAGCAAAAGCTGTTAAAAGTAAAAGAACCACCAAATCAGCTCTGGCAATAACTTCAATTAAGAATTTATTCAAAAATGTGTCGGTGGTTATAGAGTCCGTAATCTTTGATAAATTATCGAAAAAGTATGCTGAATAAATCTTTGGGACATTTTTGGGGCAGGAATTATGACCTTGAAAATTTTCGCAATAACCATCCTCATCAATATGTTGATCCGCATTGATTTTCTTTACATTTTTTTCCTCATTTGAAATAAAATTGAAAAAAAAATCCAATATACTCTCATACAAATTGGTTTCCTCACTTTTCGCAGCTACAATTGGTGTTTCTGGTTGATAATTTTGTGAAAAAATATCTTCAGTTCTTATATGTTCATGTTCCACTGACTGACTTGAATCTGAATAAATTGAACCACTTTCATAAAGTGGCTCTTGAGAAATGGGCTCTTCTTCATAATGAATTGCTTGTTTTTCTCCAACAATACTTTTCGTTGTTGTGTAAGTTGATATTGTGTTTTCGGCATTATTTGGAACTAAATTAAGTGGTTGATCATCGATTTCTTGATTGATTTCTCCAATATCGAATGTTTTTTGTTCACTGTATTCTTTATTTTCATCGTTTTCTATTTGAGTTTGTGGTGGATGCGGCTTATTACTGGTAAACAATTCTTGTGTTTTATCATCTAAAACATGGTTTTGTATTGTATTATCTTCAGATTCACTGATTTTGTTTGACGATACAGTTTCATCTGATAAAAGAATAGGTTGAATACTATGTATAAGATTATTTACATCTCCTTCCACGTTTATAGTGGTATTATTATTTACAACAATTTCTTCGTTGACTTGATTATTGTCGGAGTGTTTGAAAGTGAGATTGTCATCAAGTTTTGATTCAAAGTATTTGTTCTCTTGAATTTGTTCCTCTGAGTTCAATTGAAGCTCATAATTTTTTGGCGTTTCTATAATTGATGATTTTTTTTCGACAATAATTTTATCATCATTTTCAGTACTAACATTTGAATTACCATCGGATTCCCATACAAAGTCTCCGATATTTTCAAGGTCTTGATTAATGCTTAGTTGAGATTCAGCAATTTCATTTTCTTCAACTTCTCTGTCTTCATTTAGTTTTTTCTCACTCATTTCATTCATAGCACTTTTATGTTCTTCATAGTCGTCTTCGCCTTCTTGTTGTTGCATTCCAACTACCTCCAAGCGAATATTTTCGTCTGTATTTATCTGTATTCCTGTTTTATACATGTCACGTTTTATTACAAGTGGTTCATCAACAGGTTTTAAATTGGAATCTTCTTGTTCTTCTACACGATTCGAATGATCGTTACTTTCATCTGGCTCTTGTTTATATTTTTCGTTGTCTTCATCTATATGATCACGCATTTGCTCAAATTCATCAATTTCTGTATTCAATTCTTTCGCAATGCTTGTTTCATCAGATTCGACATTGTTCTGATCTTCGTCTTGTTCTGTGGTGGTGGTGGTGTTGGTGTTGGTGGTGTTGGTGGTGTTTGTGGTGTTTGTGGTGGTGGTTGTTCTAAGTAAATCTTCTTCTCTCATTGTAACATTTTCGACAATTTCATGAAGAGAGTTTAACTCGTTACTGCTACTACTACCCCTAACTTCAACTAGGTTTTCTGCTTTTACAAGAATTTTTTGTTCCATAATCATGTTGCGAGGAGCGTATCCACGGCGTCCTTGTACTTCAATTTCCCAAAGATCAGCATTTTCACCGCTTGATTTTGCCATTACCCTACATTGAGTATTTCCTCTGAATGAAACATGGCTTGGATGACTACCATGAAAATTTATTACCGTTCTCGCAGTCGAAATAATATCTGAAAAATAAATTGAATACGCATAGCATAGCTTTTGCATCAATTTTTGTTTTTGGAAAATAAACTTTTATTGGGGTTAAGGTTGAAGAAAAACTTACTTTGACACTTTTCATCTGCACATAAACGAATCGTGGGCACTCTGCCATAACTTACTGCAGCAAACAATATAATTATGTAAAAAACTTCAAAAATTTTAATTTTTCCCATCATTTTTTACTTTATTTATTGAATTAAATAAGTTTCATTTTTCTCATGAGTAATTGTTTGGCCACATCACTCATCAGTCGAACTATTTTTCTTGTTTAGTTGGCATTTTGACAGTTTTATGTCAACGGCGAACTGTCAGCGTAATGTAAAACTACGTCTGTGGAGGAAAAGTGCATCAATATAGGGGGGAATATGTTCTATAAAAACGAATTTCACAAGAACATCGCGAAATGCATGTTTTACTATAACACTTCAAAGATTATTTTGCAATGCGATATTAATAATATTATAATATTCGTTCAGTTTTTCAATTCTCTCTTTTGTGAACAGACTTTTCATATTATCTCCTATTTTATTTAGATGAAAAATAAAATATCCAAAGTAAAATGAATTTTTTTTATTAATAAGTTGACGAAAACTGGTTGAATTTATTAGTATCATAAGTTTTTAGGATATCAGTTATAATAATGGACGTGTACTAAATCAAATAAAAAACCTCCATCGAGGTGAAGAACGAGTGACGAAACCAAAATGTGAAACACAAAATTTCTGATATCAATTCTGTGACGAAAATAGTTGGTAGATATTTTTACTGTGTACTGTGAATATAAACTTAATATACATTTGTATATTCAAAACGTTTTCGAGAAAATGTCCGTTATGTGTACAGCCAGATGGATATTTCTTAGTTTTTGGCCAATTTTGCCTACCCCACATTAAATTTTTAAGTTGCAATTGGCACCATTCGAGAGCTTACTTTAAGACCTTTCCAACGAATATGCATTTGTCATCAGTGACCGGTTCGCGCATATTTCCATGCTTGCCTAAATACGCTAGGTAGCATAGATATGCCAAGCATAGCCGCAAACGCAACCGACGCATCGCCGTTCACTCTATATGAACAATACACATGTTCGTTTATGCAGACAACCGTGCGCATACAATATAGCTCGAATCGAATGGCGACGGGTGCGTTGCGGCTTACGTCTCCGCTATGCTTAGCATAGCTATCAGGCATAGAAATATGCGCGAACCGGTCACTGTTTGTCATCGGTATTTCTACGTGCCACAGCGACCGTATGAAAAAATGGCCGTTTTTGGCCATATTCGCACTATCGAAGGCCATATCTTGAAAACAAGAATTTTCTGGGATATAAGTTATGCGGCGTTTTTTAACTTAGACATTTTGTTCCGTATGGATGTCGATCGGTGTCGATTGAAAACATTCAAGGCGTTTGAGGAAAACCGAAACTTTGCACACATGTTTTTGAGACCAAGTCTAACATATACCGGATGTGCTGCGATCAAAATTCGCATTTGTATGTATTCGGGACCACCCTATTTTACAGTGCGAACGACCACTCTATTTTCGGCGGACCAGGCATGAGTGGTGTTTTCCACCAGCCAAAACTATGACTCATTGTTGAAAATAACTTTGCTCCAAACGGTCGTCAAATTTTTCTTTGTCCAATCCATTAAGTTTTTTTCTGGTTTTCTGTCAAGAGTGATTCCTTTATTGTACCGCGATAACGAACACCGGCGACATCTAATCTTTTATTGACAGTGAAGTGCAAGACGTGGGGCAGTCATTCACATTTTTTCACGCTTATACTGCTGGAACCACTTGCTTACGAACTCTCTCGACTTATTAATGTGTTTTGCGACCTTTGCTTGAGACCATTATGGTCCATTTGGATGTAAATGCAGGAAAACTGCTTCAAAACGTTTACGAAAATATTCCAAATTCAAACAACTACCGATTTGACAACTGTAAAAACCAATGAGCTCTGTAGCTGAGAATGTTATCTGGCAAAACCAAAAATATTTGTAAGATATTTGATTATTTTTATTTGAAAATCGTCCGTTTTCTAAAAAAATTCACTGTAATTTACATCTTTTATATTCAAAGTCACGCTTAATGGACCTCACTGAGTCCAGTTATTGTGGTGTGATATTGGTACGACGCACACCTACACTTTGGTGACTGTTTCCAAAATTGATTTATTTCTTATTTATGATGTACTTCGAGTCGAGTATGTTGTGTATCTATGATAAATTTTTTTCGACACCCCCTCAGTACCCAAAAAATTTGGGTCGGTAAAGGGATAAAAAGTTCTAGTTCTTCCCTGGAGGGCATAACTCCCATACTATGGTAATATTTTTTTGGTCATTATTATAGTACTTTTCAATACCTTGTATACAAAAAGTCACCCTCTGCAAAAAGTCAAATTTCCGGATCAAAAAGTAATTTTTTGACTATTTTCTGGGCCAAGGGTAGGGTCTATTGCATGGGTATGTATGGAACATTTGGAGAGCAACTCAAGAAGAACAAAACTTGATCTTCGATTTTTTCAGAATTGTTGGTCAAAAAATAAAAAAAATGTGTGAAATTACTTAAGTTCAGCAAGAAGCTACATTTATGCATTCAAGATGCATGAAACTAATAATTTTAATAAATATTGTTCAAGAATATGGCAAAAAATGTCACATTTTCAATTCAATTTCTGGAAAATTGTACTTTTTTCGAAAAAAATCATAAAAATCGATTTTTCAAACTAATATTGCATATTTTACTATTATTTATGGGGCAAACCTCAAATTTAATATCGTAGGACTCAGAAGTATGTTTATTCTTTATATATGGTTAGAAAGTTGCCATTTTTCTTAAAAACCGCAATTTTTTCATAATTTTATCGATTGTGACCATGTTGGTTCACTTCGACTTAAATGCTTGTCTGACCCTTCAAATTGACTTTAATCGATATTTATAATGGCATACAATCCATTAGAATGCATTTAGAACGATTTAAAATCATTTTGTATTCGACTAGTTCCATCGATAAAATGCTTGAGAGTTGAAAAGTACCTTGAGTGCCTGGCCATTTTCGACCCTTGAATGTTGTCGAATCAGTGCGAAACCACTTCCATTCGATTCCTCGTTGAAAATTAGGTGGGAAATGTCGTATTTGCATTGTTGGTCGGATGGTCTATCCATGAAATATGGTACAGTTTCCGAACCAATCCAGACCCCTCCGCTGAAAATTGTAACAAATAGCACTTTTGTATGAACAAGGTTAACTCACATGGGAAACTTTGGAAAATCTGTAACTTCCAAAGTGTTTGTATGGTCCTGAGGTGTAACTGGCCTCACGTTTAATCGACTTATTTTTAGTATTGGTAAGGGTTTTCTCGAAAAAAGCGAAAAAAGTCCGAATTTTCCGGATTCTTCGATCTGGATAGTATTTACCCTTGAAAAATTCTTAAAAAGGACAATTCCGACGTAATTTTTGACAGGGAATCGATTTAACGCCATAAAAATACGATCCGATGGCGTCCAGACCTTAAAAACTAACGATTCAGAGGGTCATCAGAGGATCATACCATGGAATATGAAAATGTACCAGGCCGAACGGAGGTTCGTCCGGGGTCAAAGTCGTAGAACAAAATTTGTTTGTATTTGGGTCCTCTATCATAAACAGCATGTCCAAGGTACATTTCATGAAAATGGATCAAATGAACCACCCTAATAGCGATGAATGTTTCACTGTCCAAAATGATGAATTTTTCAGTGCAACATGCTATAACACTATATGAATTAAACACCAAATTTGTAACATTTGTAGGAGTCACGTTAAGTCTCCTATGTGCATTGGTTGAGATTTTTGTTTTTTTTTTATGTAGCGCAATAAACGTCTGCAAGTTGTGCAAAGACTTATGATACACGTGTTACACACAAAAATACATTTGAAACGGCCATTTGGTGGTATCATTAACAGGAGGAGGACGTTTATTAAAATCGCATTCGAAGCACATGCGGGAGAAGAAATAAATCAAAAACTCATTAAGATTCAATTCGAAATATACATCAATCAAAAATTTAATAGTTATAATTTATATACTAAAAAATTAACAGTTTATTTATATGTGGAATAAAATAATACATTTTTTGGAATAAATATATTTTATTTAATTGGATCTTTTAATGCAATATGTATGTCGATATTGTAATTTTACATGAACGATTCAAAATATCGCCTTCTTTCAATATCGGACGATTTTTGAATGTATTATTAAATACTGTCAACAAAGATGACAGGTCTAACTGTCAGAAAATACAAATAATACATTTCAAAATAGTTCATAATTGACTGACATGGATGCTTCTGAATGTTCTGTGTTATCGGAAGCATTTGATGTGCTTTCATCCCACGCCAAAGGTAATATCAATTGAAAGTCATTGTTTTGAAAGTTAAAACACATTTTTTATTTTCAGATTTGTATTTAGACAAAATTATATGCCAGCTTTTCTCACTGCCAAGCACAATTGAATTTACACGTGATTATGTAGCAAAAAACAGACCCGTAGTTATTCGTGGGGCTTGTTCAAAATGGGAAGCTTGCAATAAATGGAACTCAGACTATTTACGGTATGGAACATCATATTATTATTGTTATAACAAAATTGGTGAAATTTAGCTTGTTTATGATTGAAGAAACATAAGTGGCAACAAGTTCGTTTCTGTAGCGGCTACGCCGAATGGATTGGCCGATGGGATTGCAACAAAAATGCCGGAGAACAAGGAATATTTTGTATTACCTGAAGAAAGAAGGATGAAAATGTCCGAGTTTCTAGATAAATTGAGTGTGAGTGATGATGATCAAATTTTGTACATTCAAAAACAAAATTCAAATCTTTCTGAAGACTTCCCAGAGTTAATGTCTGATATTGATGTAAACACCCTTAAATTCGCGTATGAAGCATTCAATAAAAACCCCGATGCAATTAATTTTTGGATGGGTGATTCAAGGTCTATTACATCGTTACACAAAGATCCATACGAGAATATTTATTGTGTTATCTCCGGCTACAAAGATTTCATTTTAATTTCACCAACTGATTATCCTTTCATAAAACGTTCAAAATATCCGCTCGGAATTTATAAAACCGAAAATGGCAAAATCCAAATTGATCCTGTTACTACGGGTGGTATGTATTTTTTTTTCTTTTTACATTTCGAAAAATAACACATCAAAATATAACTAAATTATGTACACATGTACATAGAGAGAAGATAGAATGGTGCTCTATTGACCCGTTAAATCCAAATTTGGAAAAGTTCCCAGAATTTAAGAAAGCATCTCCAATCACTGTACGAGTCAACGAAGGTGATATTCTATATTTGCCAAGTTTATGGTATCACCATGTACAACAAAGTCATAAATGCATAGGTATTTTTGCATACATTTGCACATGTGTTCGAAATCGTAACGTTATTTTTCTCTTATCTCTATTACAGCGATTAATTTTTGGTTCGATATGGATTACGATTCACGCTATTGTTATTATAAATTTATAGAAAAACTGTGTGGAAATGGAGAATAAATATATTCAAAATGTATCATATCAAAAATGACAATAAAAAAAGTGTGGTTAGAATTATCAAGTTTCAAATGCGATGTTTTAAGAAAAAACATGTCAAGCAAACTGACATTTGAGAATTGTTCTGCCCATCACGTTGTACATATTCTTTCTTATTAAGGATTGATGTCAGTTTTTTCCAATATCTGATACAAAAACAATGTTGCGTTCAATATTAGCAAGATCTATTTCGACCACATATCGCAGGCGACAGCTCTCGGTAAGTTGTTGTAAAAAAATCAAAACAAAAAAACCATTCGAATTTCCAGTAAAAAGTGTATATCTATCCATTTATTCAAAAAACAATTGTCAACACAAATACATTCATTATTATAGTCCTGGTAGAATTTGGTCCCATGTTTGAGCGTCATTTCCGTCATTTTCAACGTTGCAAAAGAAAGAAAAAAACAAAATTCAGTTAGAAAGTTGACTATGAATCAACATCAATACACCATTCAATAAGTCCCTTCGTACTTCGGCAACAAAACGCAAGTCTAGCCATGCAACTAATCGTTATAATATTCATTTTAAACAATTTTTGGATTGAATGCTGCTGTTTGTCAGTTGCCATTGTTTGCATTTGGTGGTCCTCTCAACAAATCAGGCACTAGTACGCCAAACATCCGACAAAGTCCTGTGTAATTAGAAGCAAAAACATTAAACAATGAATAGATTCAATTGATTCATACCCTTGAGCATAATGCATCTTCATACTGAACATTCAATGGCCAATTTTTGTTGGTAACTTTAACCTTTGACATTAAACGCTCATTCCGAAGTATTTCGCCAACATCCTGATAATTGCCATTGCGAATTCGATGCTTAATTTTCTTCTGCCCTTTTTACAAACCTAAACGTTGCCACAATTTTATGTGGTAGACTAGTGACTGAGTCCGGTAGTCCAGCAATCGGTTTCGCTTTGCAACCCTAGCACACTTTAAATCGATGCGATTTCGCGTTCACTGGAAATTGTTCTTAACAATTCGCGCATGTTTTTGATGTTCCCTATTCATCTTCCATTTTCACCACTGAATGGCCAAGTTTCTTGACGCTCACCAAAAAATTTCCGCGATCCTGGACATCTTTTCTGTCTCTTCAAACCAAATGGCCGATTGGATGGCATCTCCGATGCACCAAATATAATCATTGACGGCATGTTATCATTGACTTCGTTCGACTTCATGTAATGATCAAAATCCAGTCGTGAATATTTACGCGGTGCATATGCTGACATTCCTTTTCGTAGCATTTTGATGCGATACTCAATTTACCATTGCCATGTTGAATTACGCGGTGATGGTGGACCGAATGGGTATGTCTTCAGATGATTCTTTTCTTCGATATCAGACCATTCAGCCAACTTTTTCCCTCCGTTTCTGCCTAGTTTCCCAGTAGAATAGCTTGGGTATTGTGATGTTTTACTTCAAAATTCAAATTAATAAAAAATAATGAGTTTCGACTCAAAAACATTTTAAATTAGATTTCAAAATATCCCACCTCAACAGATGTTTTCAGGATGCATTATTGCCAAACACGTTTTTTCATTGGGATCGATGCCAATAACGTATTTTTTGCCCACAAAATTGTCTGCCTTTGAATGCACATTTTCGTTTCATTTTCGCTCTGGTTTGGTGACGATCTTCATTATCGAGTACTTCATTCACCTTGCTTCATTCAGTGAGGCCAATGAGGCAACTTTCGTCATTTGAAGACTGCACTCAAACAATATTTGCGTCACAACTGCTGCATGCTCGGGTCGAAGTATTGTTTGCAAGCCACATTTTATTGCAATGAACATTTTTCTTCTCTTTTCATGGTATACTACCGAATCAATGAAATTTAATTAGAGATTTGTAATTATGTGAATTTATTGAAAAATGACATTTACAGTTAATATAAACATATTTTCGCTCAACCAATATCGATCAAAAATTGGTGGTTATCGTCATTTGCCATCAAACACTTGTCACTGGTGAATTTTCAAACAATTAGGATGAATAAATGAATGAAATGAAAATAAAACATATTTCTTAGGGGGTAGACTAGGGTGGCCCAAATCTCACTATCTGAACGGATTGTTGTTCCCCGACCGGTTTTGTTAATTTTGGTCCAAAACTAGGCATCATTACATTGTTTAAAGGTTGAAAAAACGACCCGACCCCGACCATATCAAAAGGTAAAATGGTTTTGGTGTATAAGAATGGGGAATTGGCCCCCCAAAAATAGGGAATTGGCTGTCAAAAATCGTGCGTTTGGTTGTCAAAAATGGGGAATTGGCTGTCAAAAATGGTGTGTTTGGTTGTCAAAAATGGTGCATTTGGTTGTCAAAAATGGTAAAATTTGGTTGTCAAAAATGGGGAAATTGGCTGACAAAAGTGGGGAATTGACCCCCCAAAAATGGGGAATCGGCTGTCAAAAATGCGTCGATAAAAAAAAACCGAAAAAAATGTGTAAACATTTCTTGAAATAATGAAAAATAATATTATTCGATGCAATTTGATACTAAAATAATTCAATTACATTATCTTTCATATGGTTTTTTGTCTTTCCTTCATTTCGTTGATTCATATTGTTCCCCCGCTAGGGCATACATCCGCACATGGGGGGTAAAAATTGCCTAGTTTCAGTTAGGTTTTTTGGACTGGAAATGCATCTTCAGAAAATGGTCATTCTTGGGGTAACTTTTAATGCTCTATAGATTGGCATCATTATTTTTTTCATCCTGACCCTGCCCTCCCCTCTAATCAGGGGGTTGTCATTTTTTTTCACTGAAAATTTGCCCCCACGCCGATTTGAGTGCTTTGGAGTGGAATGACCCACGGGAATCTGTCATACCCACTGTATTTTTGGATGCTCTATCGATTGGCACCATTGGTTTTGACCCCCTCCCGTACCCCTCCCCCCTAGGGGGGGGGTTCTGGTTTGAAACTTCAGACCCATTTTTAAGGTCTTTGGATTGGAAAAACACCCATTACCCTTCACCCATACTCGGGGTATTTTTCAGTGCTCTATCGATTGGCATCATTGGTTTTGACCCTCCGACCGACCCCTCCTCACTTCGTGGGGCTACCTATTTTTCTTACCCCAAAAATATATATAGAATCCGATTTAAGGGCTAAGGGGTGGAAAACTACCCCCCAAATACCCCCCTAATTTTAAGGTATTTTTGATTCTCAATCGATTGGCATCATTTATTTTGACCCCCTGACACCCCCTTACCTGCCTTTGGGGTCCTATACACTGACCCCGATTTAAGGTCAGTGGGGGTGAAATACCCCCTGGGTATGTTCCCACACCCAAGGTAGTTTTCAGTGCTCTATCGATTGGCATCATACGTTTTTTGACCCAAAGCCCCTTAACCCCTATATGCACCCGTCTATCTTTACCCAGACTGGTTTCAAATTCACTTTAAATTGACGCAGTTCATATTTTTTGTAATGGAAATGGCCAAAAATACGTAGTTATAAATAAAAAAATAAAAATCAAAAAAAAATTATTTTTTCTGATAGAAAATTATAAGTTACTCAATTTCCATTACAAAAAATCCTGAATCCGAATCAAGCCTTAAAATTGAAGTACCGCCGACGAAAAATCAAAATTTCATTGAATTTTTGCAAAAAATTTAATAAAAAGTGCGATTTTTTGTTTAATAATTATTTTTTGAGCAATTTTAATGCCAGATTCTGCTTCAGCATGCCAAAAAACCTTTAGAAAGTGTTTTTTACGATGCCCTCCGAGCAAATGTTCACCTATATACCCACAGCAATGAAATCCCTACTACCGTGCTAGATGGTGTCGACACGAGTGCACGGATTTTTAAATTTATTTGAACGACGCCATGTTACTATACTTGTCCATTACAACGTACATGTAACAGAAGAAACACACAGTCCATGTCCACGCTAGTTGACATAAACGATTTGAACCGTCAATGTGAACTAGATCAAGTATAGAACTTTACATAGGATGATATACGATGAATATGGATTACACAGTCTGTTTCAAGATACCGTCACCAATGTCGACACCATTTGACATCAAAATTTGGACCGTAAAAATATGTGTTATTGTTGTTGTCGTTTCATTGCTGTGTATATACCAATTTTCAGCACATTTGAATTAAAAAAAAATCACTCCAAAATGAGCCTTCAGAGCGGAACTATAAAGTCAATTCCTTTTCTAAAATGAGCCAACTTTACAAAACGAAGTATGAGGCTTGACTACACTCGGGCCCCTCTACAACGCCAGATATACCAACTCTCTCGCGTAAAACTACGTTACTACAGTGTGACCACAACTTTAACAATCAAATATCCACCTACCAATTGGTGTCGAGTTTTCAAAACAGACATGAATTAAAACTTCAGTGCATAGTTTATTATAAACAGCAGATGTTGCAGATGAAATACTCGTCTCGAAAAAAACTTTACCAATTTCTGAAAAGTGCACCCATTCATAAATGTAAATGATGATTTGTTTGAAGCTCAAATGTGTACTTTGAAAAATCGACATTGCCTTCACTGTAACTTTGTTGCAGTGTGTCCAATGTCCATAATATATAGAAATAGCACTAAATAGTGTTGATATCTATACTATATCGGTCCACTATATATGGAAGATATTGCCGCACGGCATCGTATCGCACGATCAAAGTGAGTGTAGGCGGCAAAAATCACAAGTTGCCGTGCGGCAGTAGAAAGAACTGTGTGTATGCGTCAACATGTTTGCCGTCCGCACTCACGTCGATCGTGAGTTACGGTGTCTTGCGGAAATATCTTCCATATATAGTGCACCGATATAGTATAGATATCGACACTATTTAGTGCTATTTCTATATGTTATGGACACACTGCTTTGTTGTTGCACCATTTCTTTGCTCTAGCATGTCCAATATGCATTTTGCTGCAACGCCAAAACCACTCACTTTCTTTTTTATGAAACTAAAAATTCATCTCATGACCACATTTTGGCGAAACTTTTCCGCACTGTGATCCACAACATGCATTTATTACGTATCTTTTACCGTAAATATGAATTCATGAGAAAACTGAATCTGATATAAGTTTTCCGATACCAATAATTTTTGATAGACTTTTCAATGCCTGTATGATATAGTAATCATGTGAATTTTTTCCATGGATGCCTATCAACCAAAGTCGCTCAAAATCTAATGGTTTCTATTCCTCGGCACCCCTAATCATCCTTTGAAGTCAGATTTTGAAATACTTTCCTTGTTTGAAAGTTATCGTGTTAACAAATTTTTGCACATACATTCGGACATCGAAAAAACGCTAGATTCGTGTTCCCTGGCCCCAAAAACACCCACAAAACACATTTTTGATGGGTGTTAATTTTTCAACTGATTCCAATACTTTACCTTACGCACTAGGTGTGTGCGGAAAAGTAATATCCATTGTATTTACATGGGGAATAACTGAACAAAAAAATTTAAAATCTAAAATCGCACCACAGATAACACATGACCAGACTTCTCATAACATACAAAATGGAAACAAAAAATCGCTCCAATTAATGTGTCCCTAAACTAAAGATGTGCCCATTTTTCAATGTTAGAATGTAATAAAAACATTACAAATTTATCCAAACAGCATCTTCCATTGGTTGAGCAGTTTCAATCAAGCCCAGAATACCAAACAGTAAGGCATAGAACATCAACACCCTTGAACACAATTATAATGTTCGTACCTCAACAAGAATCATGGATTGTCGAACGAATGGGAAAATTTAATCGTATACTGGACCCCGGCCTGAATTTTCTACTGCCACTTGTTGATCGTGTAAAATATGTACAAAGCTTAAAGGAAATTGCAATTGATGTACCGAAACAAAGCGCAATTACTGTCGATAATGTGACGCTTGGAATTGATGGAGTTTTATATTTACGAATCGTTGACCCATATCTAGGTAAAATTAATGAATAAATATATGAATCGTTGCGGAGAAGAAGTAGCTCTTATTTTTCTCTAAATAATACTGCAACATAAAGTTTTTTATGAATAGTTTATTTGTTGTAATACAACAAATAAACCGTGTGAAAAAAACTTCATGTTGCAGTATTATTTGGAGAAAAATAAGAGCTACTTTTTCTCCGCAACGATTCATATCAGAATGTACACATTGATATAACGAAATGTTACTTTCAAGCTTCTTACGGAGTCGAAGATCCAGAATTTGCAATTACACAGTTGGCACAAACGACGATGCGATCAGAACTAGGTAAAATGACCCTAGATAAAGTATTCCGCGAACGTGAATCTTTAAACGTCAGTATCGTGGACGCCATTAACAAAGCTAGTGAAGCATGGGGAATTACATGTCTTCGTTATGAAATAAGAGACATTAAAGTGAGTTAATTTTTTTTTTGTTTTAACGTTATTCTACTAACTAGTTACATTGATTTTTTAAGTTGCCGAACCGTGTACATGAAGCAATGCAAATGCAAGTAGAAGCCGAAAGGAAAAAACGCGCAGCAATATTGGAGTAAGTTATTATACCTTCTTTGTGGCACTACGACTACTGCGGTACTATTCGATCAACTGAGTTAAGCTGCATAAGCTGCATATACTGAGTTAAGCTGCATAAGCTGTGGTCAGTAGATGAACGGGTGACCGATTAGAACATCGTATGTAGTCGTAAAGTACTGTGTCAACCGTGTGTGTGTGTGTTTTTTTTTGTGGTTTTTTGCCCGGATGTGGAATCTTCCAAAGATACCAATGGTGAGATGACCGATTTGCATGCACGATTCGCTGACTGGGAAAGCGCCTACGTACTAAACAACACCCTGGCACACCCTTCTACCACTATCCCCGCGGACTTGCCGTTAGGTATTACATCGCGGGGCTGGTTAGCATTTTATCCTTGTCTCTCCGTTGTTTCTCTTCTTTGTTTTTCTTTGATGGAAAATGACGATCACCATCATTTTTTAGTCGATATGGTTGTGCGAAGATATTTTTATTTTAACTGAAAATATCATTTTTCAATAAATTCACATAATGACCAACCGAGCTCTTGCGGCACCATCTAGCGTTGAGCTATCGGAATGAAACTTTACAAACGTTATTTGCACACCATATGGAAAAGTATTCCGAGGTGAGAGCGAAAAAATTTCAACTTTTTTGTTTCTGGGGCTAGTCTAATATCCACTGGCATCATCCCGGATATGACTAATGCCACGTCGTCTGATATCGTCCTGGAGCCACTTATGGTTCTCAGTGCGCTGAGTCTGTATGTGGTTGCAAGATTTCTCCATATTGCTTTAGTCGTCAGTGCTGCTGCCCAAACCGGAGCGGAATAGAGCAGTATCGAGCTAACTACTCTTGAGAGTAGGATTCTCCTACCGTATTTGAGACCCCCGATGTTTGGCAGTATTCTAGAGAGCGCTGCTTGCGTTGATGCTGCCTTATTCTTTATGTACTCGACGTGGGACTTGAACTGGAGTCTGTTGTCGATCATGACCCTAGATATTTGATCGAGTCTTTCGAGCTAATTATTTGTTTGCCGACTTTTATTTTCATATACTACAGTGATTTACGACCCGTGATTAGGACCGCTTCCGTTTTTGCTCTGCCATCTCCAGGCCAGCAGTTTCCAGCCAACTCTTGACTTGCGAAATTGCTTCGTTCGCGACTGCTTCGATTTCTTCTATGTGTTTCGCTACGATGACAATGGCGATATCGTCAGCGAAACCAACGATTTTTACTCCTATTGGCACTGGCAATCTCAGAACACCGTCGTACATGATGTTCTACAGGAGTGGGCCTAATACAGAGCCCTGCGGCACTCCGGCTGAAAAAAGCGACTTCTTTATTTGTGACCAGTTTGCCGTATTAAAGGCGTTCTTTATGTCCAATGTCACGACTGCACAGTATTCTTTTGTTCCCCATCTCCACCTATCGCCCTCTATGGAGGCAGCTGCTGTATCTACGACTGATTTTATGGCGTCTACAGTAGATCGCCCTTTTCTAAAACCGAACTGCGCTTCGGAGAGAGCCCTCTTCTCCTCTGCAGTTGCAAGTAGGCGGTCGTATATTATCAGTTCCAAGATCTTTCCGGCGGTGTCCAGTAAACATATTGGACGATATGATGAGGGGGCACCAGGCGGCTCGTTTCCTTTTGGTAGCAAGACCAGGTGCTGCATCTTCCATTGTTCGTGAAATAGGCCTTCCTCGAGACACTGTTGCATTATTTCAATGAACAAGTTCAGCCTTTTTACTACAGCCGCTTTGAGCGCTTTGTTCGGGATGCCATCGGGTCCATGTGCGATTAAATTCCTGAACATTTTGATCCGTTCTTGTAGGTTTGGACTTCTTCTTGATCTTTGAACTATGCGTCGGGCGTGTAGGCATGCGGCCCTAAATTTTTTGATTTCGTCGTTCCACCAGTAGCAGGGCGGTCTTTGCCCGTCACATGCTGTGGGCACGAAATGCATCAGCTGCTTCAAACGGTTTTCTTCAGGGCCCGGACTCAGGTTAAATGAGTCCATTGTGTATTCGAATGTTTCTTTGTCGAAGAGTGTGTCTTTCAATTTTTGCCCCGTGAGTCTAGGGGCTTGCACTGAATTTTCGTTTTTAATTTCTATTATGACCGCCTGGTGGTGACTGTGCATGTACTCTTCGCTGACCCGCCACTTCGTTTTGTTTGCGAGTGAGTTGCTCACTAGTGTGATGTCAATGATGGAGCCAATCCCAGCCTTACGATATGTAAGTGCATCACCCCCTATTACTATATCTAGAGTAGCGAAGGTCTCTAGAATTATTTGGCCCCTGGTATTCGTACACCTGCTTCCCCATTCTGTTGCCCAAGCATTGAAGTCCCCACCGATGACAATGGAGTTTCTCTTTGTTGCGTCTCTTGCTATGTTATCTAGCATCGTCTGATATTCTTCCGGTGTCATACTTGGTCGTGCATAGCAGCTGTAAAAATTTATACCGCCCATGGGCACTTTAGCCCGTACGAAGTCCTCATGTTCCCCATCGATTTCCTGGAATGCGTGTTTGTCGCATGTCCATATGGCGGCTTTCCTTGCTTTGTCACATATCCATGTGTTTGATTCGGGGATTCTGTACGGCTCACTTATCAGCGCTACATCTGCCCCTTCGTCTTTTATTATTTTTGTCACTATATCTAGAGCTGTCTGACAGTGATTGAGATTTATTTGGACAATTTTCATGTTCTCTTGTTTAATGCTTTTTTTAAAACTGGGCATTTGCCACTGCCGGCTACGTGTTTTGCATAGTTTGCCGGGTCTTTTCTACAGAACATGCATGACAGTTCATTTTTGCAATTCTTTGCTATGTGCCCTTCGGTCCCGCATCTTCTGCAGAGCTTCGAGCAGTTCTCTTCGTTTTTGCATTGTTTGGCCAGATGTCCAAACTCAAGGCACTTGAAACATTTTGTAACTGCCGTCTTCTCCCGGATACGGTTGACAGTCCATCCTATCTTTATTTTGCTCACGTCTTGGAGCTTTTTTGCGTCTTCTGCGGGAAGGCTGAAGACCGCTGTCTGTGTACCCCATACGCTCGATGTTCCAGTCTCTGGGGTTTCTTGATGTGCGGCATCTTGACGTTGAATATGCTTGTCCAGCTCTAGTTGGGTAACACGCCGTTGGTAATTAACGTGGTGTGATTCCATGAACATATTCAAGTGGTGTGTATTGTCTCAATTATGTGTATTGTCTCAATTTGTGTTTGCGCTTACATGCACCGGATCTATCCGGCTCTAGCATACCACTTATTTGCTGTAAATTTATAGCTCCATTCGAGTCTACTTTTCAAATCACGGCTTGTTGATCGTGATACTTTTGCACCCGGATTATCTCCAATGATCTTTGTGATTTGACCAGCTTCAAATGCAGCTTTAATATCCAGCAGACATTTGTGTGTGGTCAAACTATATAGGTTTATATCTATCTTATGTTCTAATGGTTTCCCACTCATTCATTCGGCCAGACATACAAACTCTTTCTTTCTATCTCACATACATTTATTTCTCCATCATTATCATCATCATCGTCATTTGAAAATCTCATTGCACATATCTATTGAATTCATCAAGAAGAGTATGTTATTCAGCGCTTATGGCTGAGTAATGTCTGAATAAAAACATACTCTCCTCTCGATATTTTCAATAGATATTATAGAATTAATGGAATTATACTTGTCTTTTATTAAACAATTATTATGCTTGTTTTTATTCTTTACATAAGAATCATTCACATTATTAAAAAAAATTATTCAATTGAAATTAATATGAATTTAATAAACTGGTACTGATCATAAAAAAATCGGTAGCTATTCAATCGAACGCCTAGGAAATAGAACATTATTGCTTAAGATAGTAGAAAATATATACTATATCTTTACTAACTATAGATTCTATAGTATTATTTAGAGCAAGAGGGTAATTTGGAAACCTTTCTCGAGAAAAGTGGAAAGCTAAAAAAGTCGCAAATTGAAAAAAAAATTCTCGACAATAAATTCAGATTCTAGTGATGAAAGGTGTAGGATAGACGTGTCATTTATTTCAAAATATTTTTTTCCATTTTTTTAAATTATTTTTCACCATTTTCATTCTCTCCTCATTTATTGTTCAGGTCAGAAGGAGTACGTGAAGCTGAAATCAACGTGGCCGAGGGAAAAAAAAGAGCACGGATTCTGGTCTCAGAGGCGCAAATGATGGAACAAATCAACCGTGCAACTGGCGAAGCCAATGCTATGATTAAAGTTGCTGAAGCACGAGCTACTGGCTTAAATGTGATTTCAAAAGCGTAAGATGAATTTAATTCATGTTTATGTCAAATTATTACTGTAATAATCTATCTTTATAGGCTATCACAAAACCATGGAAATAATGCAGCGTCTTTAACTATTGCTGAGCAATATGTAAATGCATTCAATCAATTGGCTCGCACGAATAATACCATCATATTACCGTCTAATGTTGGTGAAGTTTCGTCTTTAGTAACACAGGCAATGTCCATTTATAAAACCATTACAAACGAGAACAAATCAACGAACATGGATGAGAAACCGTCACAATAATTGCTAGAATCCGAATTTCTAATATCAGAAATAAAAATGATTTCCAATATATAGTTTTCAATTTTTTTATTGTTAATTATTGAATATGTGTGTGATGTGGTTTTTTTAAACAGTGTGCGAGCTAAACCAATGATTAAAATCCAAACGAAGTAAAAGTTGAGAGAGTGGACCAGCTGTACGGTTGCTGCTCAACAAGCTTAGTAGTTCCTTTATATGATTTGAATACCTGTAATTAAAAAAAAAAAACCATTAATAACAATTAGTACGATCGATTTTTATGGTAAAACCAATAGTTTGTTAAAATCAGACAATCGTTGCGCTCACAAGTTGTGTTGTATACTAGACTGTGTTTTACACGTAGGGACTACTGTTTATAATATGCATACAACAGCTGTATCCCACGCGTATTTAACATGGCTATCAACAGTTTCTATTAACAGCCGCTGTTTCACGGAGCTGCTATCAGAGTTGGCTCTAGCTCCGGAGAGAGTCGAATGTAATGTCTGGTTAAAATAAAAATTTATTACTTACTGTTCGTCAAATATTTCTATAACTTGATGCGTCTCTGTGGACGTTTGATCACTTGTGTTTTCGTTAAACTTGCAAAATTTTCTGACTGTTTTGAAAATTTTATTCAAAATTCTCAGTACTGTATTTTGTGATTGACATGTGTCATTCGACGCATCATCAGTAATGGAATTCAGTAAAAACGACAAACTCATCACGTTCGCTTGAAAGATGTTGTGTGACCTATGAATTGTAAAAACGATATAAAATAAGTGCGAATCCGAACAATTTTCACTTTATAATGGAATAAATACCGTTGTATAAACTCAAAATCTTTGGAATTCTGCACTGCATTTATTAATATGCTGAACTGAGATTCGACGACATCTACCTGCAGGTAGTATTGCAAATTATCGATAAAAAATAACATTTTGTTTCGTAGTTGTGATTTCATTGAATTTCCTGCTATCTTGTTGTCTCTATGCAAACGCCAAACATCATGGAGTTCATTTTGTAGTTGTCGTATTTGCAACAAAAAACCAAACAACTCATTGTACTGTTCAATCACTCGAGAGGGTGAAAAAAACAAGTGCAATGGCCATTTTACGTTGAAGTTCAAACGAACTGATTTTAGGATTTTTTGTATGATATCATCATCGGAATCAATAAAGTATGCACAAGGTATATAGGAAACAGCTATTTGATCAGTGTCAATTGATGTTCGATTCAGAGCTTTTTGAAAAGCTTGGTTAACTTCCCGTGCCAAATTCTCTGTGACACCGTTACTGGTTTCAATATTTTTCAGTTGCATTAAAAATTCCAAGAAAAGTTCTCCGCGTCCGAGTAGATAATAGTCTTTGAATAATTTCAAGTGTTTGATCAAATCCGCTTGATTGAACGCAATTTCCGACAACCTTACAGTAACATACTGTTTAATTTCGTGTACAACATATTCATAAGAACCATTGTCAATGCTATTACAATTGTAAAGCTTCTGAATCTTATTAAAATATATATGTTCTCTTTTGTTCCAAAGTGACTCCATGGTTGCATATTCATCTTCGTCGTTCCAAATAGACATTTTCTTCTGTATTTTCCGTGGATCATCAACTAACATACGAACGGTTTGACCAATGAACAGCACATTTTCAGCCCATGACGCAGGGAACCAGCAGGGAACCATATCATATGCTATTTGAAATTGTAATTCGGATCTTGTGCTGGCTCTCTCTGAAAGTACCGTATTTGTTGTTATTGTAGTTACTGCTGTATTTTTACTTTCGCTGCCACTACTACAATGTATAATGAAGAATTCTGCATAAATATCAACAATTTGACCATAAATCAGCCATTGTGAAAGTTGGCGAAGAAACACTGCGTAGACCGAAAGTCTAATGGTTTTAAGTGAAGTTAAGCACTTTGGATCCGCATGGTGATTGTATTTATGTAAAAGGTTCAAAATAGCGCAACCGTGTAGTTTTTGTGTCTCAATTTCATTAATTAATTGTTCCAAAAAGTGAAAAAATGTCTGGTATTCTTTGATTTGTGTGAGAAAATAATTTATAGATAAATGTCCATTTTTGATATATTCTCTTTCAAGCTCAAGCATTTTATTACGAAATGGATCCAATGACGAGTCCACTGCAGTGGCAAATGATTCAAGGTAGATTCCATTACGTGCTTGAACTGCGCCATTCACAGATAATATTGCAACAGCTCTCGATGAATATTTTGTAATGAATTGTCTAATAACTTGATGTATTTTCGCACATTTTAAAATTTCCTTCAACATTTGAATTTCGCTCGGATGAAAATAATCATCATATACACGCTATTTTTGAGAGAGATATTGAAAAATTATATATATTACATTCTATTGAAAAATATTTATATTTTCTTTGCAATACTAACCAAATATGTTGTCATCGATGTATTGACTGGAGTTGGATCAAGAAGGCACAAAATTATATCGTGTATCATGGTTATTCACTTTTAAATTTCGTTCTCCTTATTTTGACTAGAAATAAATTTATTCCTATATTTGCTACTACTAAGGCTACTCCTTCTCTTTTATGTTAACTTGTCGAATATATATTTACCGGACTATTCAACGTTTGACTTTTATTGTAAATTATTTTTATTAACTTCAGATTAGTTGTCAATGTATAATGTGAAGTTGGTAATGATAGTATGACGGCTCGTTCACAAAGGCAGCTCATATATACAATATACATATATACAAGTAACAGTTGTTTACATCCAATTTGAGACTTTTCGCCATATCGCAAACTTTTTAGAAAAAGATGTGGTTTCCTATTTCGCGTATTCAACCATTCCGTTGTCATTGATAATTTTCGTCTTTTCTCTTGCTTTCATTTTTTGGACAAACTAAAATTCACAATATCGAAGTGAAATATTAGAAAATGCATTTCTCTGCTCTGTTGTAGTAATTGAATAAATTATTCAAGACACTAATCATATTTTATTTAATTTCTCTTTTTAAATCATAATTGAAATTTGCCTTACTTAATCAGTGGCACGAATTTAGTGAACATTCGATTGTATGATACGAGGCAAGGAGTATTTTAAACTATTGTGAAACTTAGAGCTCTAACTGTGACGTTTTGAAAATTTTCGTTTATTTTAAAATAAAATCAGAAATAAACACAAATTTCACAGTAAAACAAAAGGATGTATCGAATGAAAAAAAAGAATTATTATCAGTGTTATCACTGCCAACTGTGTTGTAAATGCATATTTGAAATGTAAACAAAATTTTGTTTCCCTTTTCTTGACATACACGGCAGCCAACATTCCGATGTCAAAATCAATAACGTTTCGTAATTTTTATTAATTTTGTGCTCAAAACGACTAGATGGGAAAGAAACACCTATGTATTTTTCATATCTGTAAATAAAAAAATGGTATGTTTCAATTTAAAGATCATAAAGATCTGTTTCAAATCGTAGCATTAATGTAAAGCATCGATTGTATTGACACTTCCCGAAGCAAAAAACTCTGTTCAAAATCAAATAATGCTTACCAAAAAACACCCGTTACTTCCTGCGAAGTCAACATCAACCAAATGGGGAGTCAACCTTTTGCTACGCTACTATGCCCACATGTTTGGGATAGCCTTTAAAACTAATATTACATTTGTTTTTTTTTTTGTTTTGTTTGCATTGTGCTGATTAGACAGCATGATCAGCTGGCTGCTGGTCGTATTCGAACATTTCTACATCACTATCCACGTTGGCGGCAGTAGAAGCGGCTGCTTCAACGACAGCAACGGCTGATTCGGCAGCCTCAGCAATCTTTTGATCGCCCCCCAAGTCGCCTCCGGTATCGGAAGTCTCAGCAATGTCCATGTCCTGAACAATCAAACAAATGAATCTTCTTAAGCAATCAATAAATCGCAATTGTGCGTTAATTAGCCTTACCTTTCAGCAGAATGTTCTTAACAGCCACGACGTCACGATGCCAAGTCACAGAGCATTCGAGGCTTAATTGCCCGTTTTTATAGTAACTTTTTACTTTTGACAATAAAGCATAGGTGATGACGAGGGTTCCTAGGTGTCGGATGACCCCCCCCTAAAATATTTTTAGGAACCCTGAACAATTTTGGAAATGAGGACCTTTTTTTTTTTTTTTTT